AGCCTCGTTGGGGCTAGTATACACATTGTAAGGCCTCATCTTGAGGTGGTCCCTTTTGTAGCAAAGACAGTTCTTGCTAATTCTGCTTTTATAAATAGAAAGTAAAATAAAATTCGTATATAATGACAACTCTCGCTAACAAGGTAAATATTGAAAGCATATTTACAATAGTACTTACAGATTCATCACGGGAATGAGAAGGCTGTACAGTAGTTGTTTCCGGTCTAACTCATCTTGAGTTGTGGGCATCAGCTTTCTCTCACCAGCAGATGTCCCCGAGCTACGTACAAAACAATGAAAAGATTAATTTAATTCTGCATGATAATTCATATCACACATCGATAAGCTAATTTGAAAAATTATATACATGATATTTTCTTACAAAGGTAATTATTAAATCAGTGAGGAACTCAAAGATGGAATGAGAAAATTGGAGAACGATCTCCATTAGCAATATGTTGAATATCAGATTGAATTTCCTCATACGTGACAATTGGCATTTTGGACTTGAATGTAACCCGGTCCGTAGCACCACCAAGTTTGACTCTTTGAAACTCAATGTTGGCATTTTGGCTTAGTATTTCAGCAAAAACTTTCTCTTCAAATGATCAACATTTCAGTTCGTGCTTCAATGATAGCCTCGTTAGAATACACATTGAATATTCAAAAGTAGGGCCTCCATGCCCAAGGCTCGAGGCCCCCTGAGGCCACCCCCTCCCCCAGGTAGGTAGGGCTGGACATTCGGAAATTCGGTTCAGTTTATTTGGTTTTCGGTTCTTGTACAACGTGTACCAAACACCGAACCAAAATAATTCAATTCGATTCGGTTTTTATTATTTCGGTTCGGTTTATGTTATTGCGGTTCGTTTTTTTTGTTATGGGTCTGGCTTTTTAAAATTTAAAATTTTGCAATTTTTTTTGATTTTTTTGTTTGAATTTTCGCTGTTGGTCGCCGGTCGGTGCTGTGTGGTCGGCTCTTGCGTGCTGCTGGTCAATGTCAGTCATTGGAGCCCGGAAGTGGAAAGTGTTGCGGCTACTACGTAAAGAAATCAGAAACAAGGAATGAAGGAAAGTGGAAAACCGACGAGTGATGCCTGAAGACTGAAGTGATGGGCTGCGGCTACTGTGTAAAGAAAGTTAGAAAATTTTGAAAAGACAAAAAGTTTGAAAAGACTCGTGTACTTTTTCTTTGACCTAATTTCTTTTATTTTTTAATTATAATATTTATTATTTTTACAAACCGGCCGCGTCTCTAGGGCCCCGTGGAACTAACCGTGGTGCACCCGCCTTGAAACAGCGGGACCCGGTGGGTACAGCTAGTCGGGTTCGCAAAGTGACACCCGGAAACCACGGTTTAAAAAAAATAAAATAAAATAAATAATTAATATAATATATAATATATTTCATGCTCCCAAAATTCTAACTATTTATTCCAATCTACAGAAGCTTGAAATCACAAATCGTTACTTCCTTCTTCAGTTAAGGTAAGAAGTTCTCTAAACCTAATTCATTTATATAAAGAGGTATCGTTGAAAAACTACTTTTTCATATGTTTTTGTTAGATATGAGAAAGAAATTCACACAGAATCAATATTTTTTCTTGAAGATACCCTACTTTTCTTAAAGCTTGAGATTGAAACTTGTTATTTTGTTCATCAGAAAGAAGTTGGAATCATTTTGGGATTTTCTCTGTATGCTGCCAAATCGAAGACAAGCTAGTGAGAGAAAGTCAAAAGTTTGCCAGGTGCACCTCTATTTATGTAATGCAATTTTTTTATTGTGTTTTACATTTCCTTAAAGATCTTTTAGCTTCACAAGTTCCTTTCTTGAACTTTTGCTTCAATTTTGGTGACCGTTTTAGTTTTAGATGTTGTTTCGTTGCAATTGGTGATAGTTTCATGTTCGGCTTTATGTAGTTACTGTCATGTTATAGTTTTTTTTTTCCAAAATCCCTTATGATGTTTAGAGCTTATCATATCTACAAAAAGTATATAGATGCTTGTGAGTTGATGAGTTTAATGTGCCTTAAACTTTTCGATGGAAATATGTTAAGGAAGGAAACAACTACAGGACTCGTCTTATTCAAGAATATATGATAGACACTTTGGCGGATGACTCGGATGACTCTAGTGCCTCCACGAGTGACAATCTGCGATTTGTCCAAGTTGTTTCAGCCCATTGCTTCATTTTTTCACCTTCTGTTTTTCTGTTTTGTTGCACGATAAGTGTCTCTGCATACCCACCTTCTACTTCCAAAGGTGGAGCTTTGAGCACTTCAATTGCTCTTCTATGGAGTCCCTCTTGAATCAAAAGCGATTTTGTGGCTGATTTTGTGTTGGACTTGGGTGACTAAATAGTGTTAGTATGTATAATGCATGTGCTTCTATATTTTTTTTTCCATCCCTTATAGAAATCACACAATTTTTTAGACTTGACTAACTGGAAGGGAAATTTATGTTTGTATTAGAAAAATACTATTTTTTCTCTTAGTTAAATGGTGATATTGAACCCTTCTTAAATTAGATAAATGTGGTATGGTCATTTCTGTTTAAATTTGAATTTCATTTACTTGATTACTAACTAACTAATAAATTATTGAGTACTAAAAGAAGTGTTTTATCATTGTTTGTTAGATAGGAAGCATGAGTTCCATTAGAGTTGATCGCATGTGGATATATAAGAGACTAGTGCCAAGTCGAACAACAGTAACTTCTGAGTTTATAGAAGGTGTGCGTGGATTTATAGAGTTTGCATTAATGCAACCTGATTTTGTTTCTAATGGAAGTATAAGGTGCCCTTGTTCAAAATGTAAAAACAGTAGTGGGTTTCTTGAACCTCATGATATTAGATCTCATTTATACAAGCATGGTTTCATGCCCAACTATTATCAATGGGAATCACATGGGGAGTCTTTTGTACCAATTTCTAGGCGCCAACCTAGTACCAATACATGTGATGAAATAGGTGCTAATAGAACACCAATAAATCCATATCGTACTATGGTCTTGGATGCAACTGGTCCTAGTTTCAACTTAGACAGTGATGTATTTGATATGGATGCTGATGAAGAAGAACCTCCTAATCAAAATGCTCAAGAATTTTTTGAAATGTTGAAAGTTGCTGAAGAGCCATTGTTTGGTGGATGTCAAACTCATTCTCCCCTGTCAGCAGTGTCCAGGTTGTTGAACATTAAGTCTGAGTCTAACATGAGTGACAATTGCTATAATCAAATTTTGCTATTTTTGAAGGAGCTCTTACCTGAAGATGCAAAATTACCTGTTGATTACTATAGGACTAAACAAATGGTTGCAAAACTTGGGCTAGGATATGAAAAGATAGATGAATATCAGACAGGTTGTATCCTATATTACAAGGATAATAAAGACAAAAGAGATTGTCCAAAGTGTGGTAAACCACGCTACAAGCCTAAGAGAAGAGGCAGTGGAAGGCAAAAAAGATGTTCCATATAAAGTACTCCGTTACTTTCCTATAGCTCCGAGGTTGCAGAGATTATATATGTCAACAAAGACAGCTGAACATATGACATGGCACTGGAAATACCGTCGAGAACTTGGGGTAATAAGTCATCCAAGTGATGGAGAGGCATGGAAGAAGTTTGATCAGTGTCATCCTAACTTTGCAAGCGACCCTCGAAATATAAGACTTGGACTTGCAGCTGATGGATTTTGTCCTTATGGGAATATGGCCCATCCTTATTCTTGTTGGCCAGTAATCATTACACCGTACAATCTGCCACCCGAAATGTGCATGACTAGCCCTTATATGTTCTTAAGTCTTCTCATTCCTGGTCCAAAGAGCCCTGAAAGAATATAGATATATACTTAGAACCTCTTATTGATGAATTAAAGCAATTATGGGCTGATGGGGTTGAGACTTATGATTCTCATAAGAAACATAATTTTCAAATGCGAGCTGCACTTATGTGGACTATTAATGATTTCCCAGCTTATGGAATGTTGTCTGGTTGGAGCACACATGGTCTATTAGCATGCCCTTGTTGTATGGGTAAAAGTAAGGCATTTTACTTAAAACATGTGAGAAAAAGTTCATTCTTTGATTGCCATCGTAAATTTTTGCCTATGGGTCATCTATTTCGACGAGATAGAAAGTCATTTTTAAGAGGAAGGTTTGAGAACTCTACTCCTTCTCTTAGGTTGTCTGGTGAAGAAGTTTGGAACAAAGTTTGTACCTTACCAAAAGTGTGTGATCATCAAGCCTCCAGTAAGTTGCCAGGGTTTGGGGATTCAACATAATTGGACAAAACAAAGCATTTTTTAGGAATTGCCATATTGGAGTACAAATATTATTCGGCATAATCTTGATGTGATGCATATTGAGAAAAATGTGTTTGATAATATATTCAACACAATAATGGATCTAACAGATAAAACAAAAGACAATTTAAATGATAGAAGGGATGTGCAAAATTGTTGCAATTGTCCAGAGCTTGAATTGTTGGAGCATGAAGGAAAAATTTTGAAGCCAAAGGGCCTATTCATTGACAAACGAACAAAGAAAATTGATTTGTGAATGGTTGAAAAGCTTAAGGTTTCCAGATGGTTATGCTTCAAATTTGTCTAGATGTGTAGACATGGAAGATTGTAAATTATCGAGGATGAACAGTCTTGATTGTCATGTATTTCTAGAAAGGTTGCTACCAATTACATTTCGAGATCTTTTGCCAGAGCCAATTTGGAATGCCTTAACAGAGATAAGTTTATTTTTTAAAGATTTATGCGCAAATGTTTTAAAAGTAGAAGATCTCCAGAAGCTTGAGGAAAGCATAAAGGTTACAATTTGCAAGCTAGAGAAAATATTTCCTCCTGGTCTCTTTGATCCCATGGAACATTTGCCAATTCATTTACTATATGAAGCAATAGCTGGAGGTCCAGTCCATTTTCGATGGATGTATCCTTTTGAGCGGTAAAAGTCTAAACTATATCATTGATTAGATAATTAATTTAATTACCTACATCATACTAACTATATATGTACCAATGCAAAGAAATACACACTTTAAAGAAGATGGTGAAAAATAGATATCGTGTTGAGGGATCAATATGTGAAGCTTATATCATTAAAGAAATTTCAACATTCAATTCTCATTATTTCCAGCCTAATGTGCAAACTAGGCTCAACAAAGCTACTCGAAATGATGATGGAGGTGAAGTTGATGCACCCGATGGTTGTCTATCCATCTTTTTGCATTTCGGACGTCCGAGTGGGGAGATGAATGGTCGTTATTTGTCCGATAAGGAGTGGGATGCGGCAAGAATATATGTTTTGTTGAATTGTGAGGAGATTCAACAATTCATCCCGTAAGTTTATAGATTTTACCTATATAATACATGTCCTGCATGAATGGATAATTTAAAAATAATAAATTCTTACTTCTGTAGTATCTTTGAAGCTGAATTGAAAAGAAATTCAGAGAATATCAGTCTCAAGGAAATTGATAAAGAGACGAATAGTAGATTTGCCAACTGGTTCGAAGCTTATGTGAGTAAAATACTATAGTATGAAAAAGTTCTTATTTTTATTTATCTACATCAAGTTATAATTTATACATAACTATATAGATCATCGGTCTATTTTGTGTATTTTTTTGTTCTCAATTCAGCTAACAACATAAGTGATGAGCGGTTAAGAGACTTGGCTTCTGGTCCTTATAAGTGGGTGCAAACTTGGCCTCAATATTTTACAAATGGCTATAGGTTCCACACACTTAGTCATGGATCTAACAAATCAACTATGAATAGTGGTGTGTGCATAAAAGGGACAACTTGGAATGACTATGAAAGTGACTATTATGGATTGCTTAGTGAGGTGATACAGCTCGAATATTCCAATCCAACAAAGAAAAGAACCACTCTTGTCTTGTTCAAATGTGATTGGTTTGATCCAACAATGGGTCGAGGGTGTAAGGTTCATAATCAGTATGGGCTGATTGATATCAATCATAAAAAAAGGTTCTCGAGCTATGCTTATGAACCTTTTGTATTGGCTGAACAAGCGCAACAAGTCTATTTTGCAGAATATCCCAGTAAAAAGAAAGATAGTATTGACTGGTGGGCAGTGTGTAAAATAAAAGCTAGAAATCAAATTGATTCTCCAAATATCCAATACCAAGAAGACGACAATTTACCCCCTATAATCCCAAATATCACTGATGATCTTGATAGCTTACGTCATGAAAATGGTGAATTGGAAATACATGAAGTTGAAAATAAGACTGGTGAAATTGATCGAGAGCATGATATTAATGCTGTTGAAAGTGATGAAGAGATAGAAGAATCTGATTTTGAACTCTCTGAAGATGAAGGAGATGAACAAAGTGATGAAAACTTTGAAACCGATGAGAGTGAAGATAATGACTTTTTACTGCAATTTCTTTTCTAGAGTGTTTTCTTTTATTACTATTGCTACTATTTTCTATTGCTTGATGTCATTTCTGAAAACCTAAGTATTTTTTTTTCGAAGTTGATTCATCAATCTGTTAAAATGGTTATTTAGCACTCTTTTAAATGCATTTATTTTCTAGCGATGCCATCTACTAAGTGTCTTTGTTGAGTGAAGGTTCTTGATGTTGCCTAGCAACCATCAATTAAAGTTTTATCACATGTTTTAGTAGAGTATTTGATCTCATATTCAGTTAGTCATATATAGGTATTTTCCCCTAAACTAGTTGAGTTAATGAAATTACCTTAGTGTGTTTCCAGTAATTTATTATTGTTTTATATATGTAATTTATGGAAGGAGTAGAGGAAGAGCTGGAGCTTTTTAGTGATATGCATATGAAGAAGTGTGGATGAAATGTAGTCTCCATAGTAGCAAATGTTTGCAGAATACTGTAGTAGAGTCTTAATCTCACCATTTTTATGTGTCAAGAATTTGATGTAACACTTCGATTGTGCAGGACTATAGTTCTTTTTTATTGAATAAAAGCAAACTCTACCCTTGTTGTAATAACATATACTACGTAATATTATTGCAGGAGTACATTTTTTTTATTCACCGTCTAAATGGGTGAATCGATCTATCTTATTTGCTTTTGTTATATTAGTGAACATTGAGTGCAAATAAGCTTCATTATTTTCTCTACATTAATCATTTTTATAGCTTGAAATGTTGAAAATTTTTAAGTGACTTCTTGAGTATTATTCTATAGTTCTTGTTAGATTTTGATCAGGAAATATGACAAGGGGAAGAGGCATTAAACGTAGTTGGGGAGGCCGAGGGGGCATAACTAACAAAGGAAGAGGAGGCAGCAAGCTGCCACCAGACACTTCTCAAAAGGGTGTTAGTGAATCATCAATTCCTACATCTCAACAAGTTGGTTTAAACCAGTGTATTGTCTCATCACATGAAAGTAGTTCTCAACAGATTGTACATACATCTCAAGAAGCCAATGCTTAACAAATAACTACTCCTGAAAATGTCGGTGGTCAGCAAGAAGCTCCTATTTCTCTAGATGTTGGACAACAAGAAACACCTTTTTCTCAGAATGTTGGTGCTTAACAAGAAAATCCAACTCAAGATGTTTCTCTTGAACAAACACTCGCATCTTTTGAAAGTAGTAATCCACATGGCAGACAAGATACACTTGGTGGCATAAAATCCTTGAGAGTAAATGGAGATACGTAAGTAATACAAAATTACAGAAGTAATGGCTAAATATGTTTTCATTTAATAATCTTCTCATAATGTATTGTATTAATGATTTTGTAGATTCTGCCCACATGAGGCTGTTCGAGATGTGGTGTTAGCCTTTAAAAAAAGCTTCCCTGGACCATGGCATTGTTGGAGCAATGTTCCAGAGCATGTACGAGACAAATGGTTTAATGATTTTGAGGTATCTATACTTGAACAAGAATCTGTAAATTTAACTTAAGCATTAGATTTTTCACATTATTAAATTCTAAAAATAAAAAAAGTATGCATGCATGCGTGTGAGAAGACACTAATTGATACATGAATCTCGTAGTATACTTGTTAATGGAAAAAATATTCTGTCTTTAAAGGAGATTCCTCCATTTGGCCTGATGTTGTCTTTTTGTGTGGAGTTGGAGGATGATTTCTCTAGCTTAATGTTTTTTTTCTTTCTGGTGTTGTTGAAGTCATCTAGCATTTTCAGTAATGCTATTCATAGAATGTACTGGTGTTTCAGTACTATCTCTTTGATAATTATCAGACTCTTCCATATCACTTTCTAGAATTTTGACATAAACGGTAAGTTTCTTTTATATTGTGCTTTCCTTTTCAACTAATTGCTTCAGTGAGTAGTGTGTTATGATTGAATCAAATTTTACATTCGAAAATCATTCTCACATGCCAACAAGTTTTTTTAGGAGTCTTCATTATGCATATATCTTATCTCTTTATGTAGAAGTCGTGTAGCCATTTGGATTTTTTTTTTTGAAGGATACAACCCATAGAAGCTTAGCAACTTTGTTACACATTTGGCAATCAATTATATAAAAGCCTCCTACATTTCTCGGTTTACACAATGTCTCCTAAGTTTCCAAGGCCGACCTTCTTGATAACTAGTTATTTTATTAGCTAGATTGTGCGTCTCAACTTGAAAAATAGTACTAAATTGATTATTTAATTTATATTTGCAGAAGAATTATTCTTTTTCTGGTGAAGATAAAGTACTTGTTCGAAAAACTTTTAACCGGGTGGGTAGTGAAAGATTGAGTGACAGTTTGGGAAAAGCAAAGAAGACATTTTTAAGAAAAAAGAAAATACCAAAGTGGATTGCTCAAGTTCACTGGGATGGTTTGATGCAATATTGGAACTCTGACGATTTTAAGAAAATATCAGCAATCAACTCAAAGAATAGAATGTCATCTAATAACGGAGAAGGTCCTTCCTTACATACTGGAGGATCAGTTGCATTTGCTGAGTACAGAAGAAGACATGTAAGTAATTCTTTATTTTTGTTTAGTATTAATTAGTATTGGTCTTATGTTATTCTCTGATTTATGTTGATAATTAATAATATATTTAATGGTTGTAGAAGGAACTAACTGGTAAAGAGCTTCGGAACGATGAATTATTTCTAATGACTCACAAAACCAAAAACGAAAAGAAGTGGATCTGTGGAACGTCAGAAAGGATGTGGGTATGTTTTTATCTCATTTCGTCAGTGATATTTATTCTGAAAGTTATTTTTGTTTAAATTTAAATCCGTGTGAATTGTTTTCTAAGAAGAAAAAAGAAATTGCTCTGTTAATGAGAATTTTTTTTTCTTTAATTCTTGGGCATAACGCAAGGAGAGTGATTTCACATTTGAAAGAACTTTAAGTATATTTGGTTGTTAGTTGTGTTAGGTGCACTTGTTTGAGGGTGGACTATTTCACGATAAAAATGATTTCACATTTGAAATAAGTTCAAGTATCTCACTGTTGAAACATGTCATTACCCATGCTATCATTTTACTGGGAAATCCCAATTCTGTAAGTATTTGTTCGAGAAACACCCATTCAACCTCTTCTGGGAAACCTTGTGTTACATTCATTTTCACTAAGACTTTGGTATATGATACTCTTTTTTGTTTAGCAGTACACACATCCATAAAGAGTTGTTTCTATAGTCGACTAGAAATTATACTAAGAGTTTCCGCACCCCAATAGTTAAGGGCCAGTGACCAGGACTTCATCTCTATCGTTTTGGTTTTGGAATTTCACTATGTAGCAGCCTGCATCGTGGTAATATAACTCAGGTACATAAGCAAAATTTTAGTACCCATCAATATAATTGCTCATGTAGGAGAAAGTAGGTGCTTCACAACATATACATCACTAGAGCATTATTCCATTCATCGGTCAATTTCGTTATTTCTGGTGCCTCTAATACAATTAATGGTCGTCCATCAATTATATTTGGTGGGTTATAGGTTAAAGGCATACCAGTGGTGGAAGTACAGTTTGACATGAACATGTTGTTCCAAACTTCTTCCTATCTGTATATTTCTTATTGAGCTCATTGTATTTTGTTTCTGCCCGATTTTCATTTCACCTTAAGGTTTGAATAAGGAACCTATATGGTTTCAATAGAGCATTTAGAAAAGATGTCTTGTATTAGTTCAATACTAGTAGACAATCATTCCAAGAACCCATCAAGCTTTTATAAAATTGAAGTATCTCTTTCTCAATTTCATCATGTTTTAGGAGCTGTCTACTATAAAGACTGGTTAAAATATAAATATTATCCATGTTGGCTCTAGTTTTCACACAGATAATGGAACTACTTCTTGTTGTTGTCTCCTGCTACTTCAAGCCAGTGAGCCTTAGATTTTTGTTTCAACACCTTCTCCTTGAGATAAGACCATTTTTGATGTTCAACTACAACTTCTTTTTCTATGTCAAATACAATGTTGGCTACAGTAGTCCTCACATGCTGAGTGATCTGTTTTTTGATAGATTCTAACTTCTCTCGTGCCTCATCGACTCTATTATAAAAGCTCCCCATTTCCTATGTCAATAACCACTACATAGGTTCTTTACACAACTTTATTTTTTTCAATATATATCTCCTCCTTTTACATTTTGTTTCTAAATGGTCGTAATAATGTTTGAA